CCTACTCCTGCTCGGCTCAATGTCAGCCAATAAACAACAAGAAAGGGAAAATCATACTATACAGGACTGTCTCAGAAAATTAGAATATGGTGATAAAGTTCTTTATTTTCTGTAATGCAATTAAAAATCATGAAATGTCATACATTATTTTATTGTTTTAATATAGCTGATTATGGCGTACAGCTAAATAAAACTCAAAAATCCGATATTCTAATATTTTGAGATAGGATATTTGGGTTTCTTAAGCTGTAAGCCATAATCAGCGATATTAAAACAATAAAAGGCTTGCGATATTTCAGTTGATTTGTAATGAATCCAGAATGTATGACATTTCATGTTTTTTTAATTGCATTACAGAAAATAAAGAACTTTATCACAATATTCTAATTTTCTGAGACAGTCCTGTATATTGTATGTATACATATGAATACATCCACATTACAAGTGGTTGGTTTATTAAACCAAGTAAATAATGGAGCAGTTAATGTTTTTTTCTGCTCTGAGATTTTATTTAGGAAAACTAAAGGATATATGACCAGAAAAAAACAGTAGAAAACATCTGTGACCCAGAGATTCATCATAATTTAAGTTTTCTTTGGTAACCAACCTGAAGTTTTTGCTGCAGTTTTGAATTGAAACAGTGAGATGTTCAAGTAAAGCCTTTTTCTCACTGATTTCATATTTTACATCCGTCTAAAACGTCTGCTTTTCACATCAGATTTTTCACCCACTTTAAATCAGGCCTTGATATGTTCTTCTGCCTCGTTTCCATACAGAAAAGTAGAAGATGGTAAGTAAGATGTCTTGAATCGAGACACTAAATGGGGCTAAATGGTTAGGACACGTTCCCATGTGCATTTAACGTAAAGCCTCATAAATCCATTCTAATTCTCCCAGAATTAAAAAAATGAAAAGCATCCCCAAATGAATGTCTGTCCAGACAGGCCAGATCAGGCCAATTCATCTTAAACTGGTCAATACAAATAAAAACAAACCCCAATAAGTGTCTGGGGTCCAGAAATGTGAATATCAAGATGGCTCTCACACCTCTGACTTACTTCAGTTCAGCTCAGTGCATTTCCCCAACAAAACAAACTAACAAACGGGCAAAAACAGGCCACCAGGAGCGTAGGTGTCACAAATCAGGGTATACATCACACAAAGCTGCCCACCGCTGCTGCTGACAGCCTGATAGCTGCTATTACTGTGTGTGTGTGTGTGTGTGTGTGTGTGTGTGTGTGTTCTTGTTTCAGCATCAGAGTGAGAACCATAAGTAGTTTTTAACCAACAAAGTGAGGTCTTTTTTTGAAAGTGAGGACATTTTCCTGGTCATCACTTTATTGTGTGTGCGTGCATGTGTGTGTGCGTGCATGTGTGTGTGTTGTGTGTGTGTGTGTTCTTGTTTCCGCATCAGAGTGAGAACCATAACTAGTTTTTAACCAACAAAGTGAGGTCTTTTTTCTGAAAGTGAGGACATTTTCCTGGTCCTCACTTTATTGTGTGTGCGTGCATGTGTGTGTGCGTGTATGTGTGTGTGTTGTGTGTGTGTGTGTGTGTGATACCTAGTGGGAAAATGTGAAAACTCAATCTTTCTAAGACGCTCAGAACTACTGGTCCTCAGTTTGTGAGTCCTTTCACTTGGTCCTCAGTCTGATGTACTTACAAGAATGTGTGTGTGTGTGTGTGTGTGTGTGGGGGGTTGAAAATGACCAAATCTGAGCTGAGCAGCACAAACAGGGCTAGAATAAGTGTTGAGACTAAAGCTAGTCCAATACTAATCAAAGTCAGAGATCTTTCTGGAGCTAGCAAAAGGATTCTGCTTTCATCTCCAACAAGCAGAGAAAAAGATTTCCGTCTGCCTTGTGGTTGTTGTCCGGCACGTTTAAAGTGAACGCTCTAAAGATGTGGGCACATC